GGTAGTGGTAGTAGGTAATGTAGGTACTGGTAGTAGGTAGTGGTAGTAGGTGTGGTAGTAGGTACTGGTAGTAGGTGGTGTAGGTAGTGGTAGTGGTAGTAGGTGTGGTAGTAGGTACTGGTAGTAGGTAGTGTAGGTAGTGGTAGTAGTAGTAGGTAATGTAGGTACTGGTAGTAAGTAGTGGTAGTAGATGTGGTAGTAGGTACTGGTAGTAGGTACTGGTAGTAGGTAGTGTAGGTAGTGGTAGTGGTAGTAGGTAATGTAGGTACTGGTAGTAGGTAGTAGTAGTAGGTGTGGTAGTAGGTACTGATAGTAGGTAGTGGTAGTAGGTGTGGTAGTAGGTAGTGGTAGTAGCAGTTGTTATTCAGAGGCTGGGCTTCTGAGACCTTCTCGTCTCATACCTGGGCTCCCACTGAAACAAGCTCAGCCACTATGTCCAAGAGTGACCTCAAGGCTGGGTCCAGCTTTACCTGAGCAGTGGGCAGGTGGCTTGATGCTCTGGCCTCAGGTAAGCTGCAACTTGGATCCCCACGGATTCACCTGAAGCAGCCTGGGCTGGACTGGTCTCTGGGGGTTCCCTGGGACCAGAGCCAGGACTCAGCCCCAGTGACTCCTACCCCTACCCCCAAGCAGGCTCTGGCAGGGGGTGGGGTGGGGTGGGGGCAGAGGGGGAAGCCAGAACTGCTGCTGACCTTGGAGAACCCAGACTTCTCCCGTCCATCCAGGCCCCACCCTCTGGCCCCACTTTTTTCCCCAGTTCCCTCCAAGGCAGGCTGGTGAGTCAGTGCTGGGTGGATGCCTCCCAGGGAAAAGTTCCTGTTGGCGTGGACAGGGAGACCCCAGACACGGGGTGGGGAAGGGCTCCTTTTCTGGCTGCCCCAAGGCTGGCATGACATCAGCCTCTGCCCTCCCTGACTTGTCCCTGACTCGTGGCCCCCACCGGGCAAGTTCGCTGTCCAGCTGGCCCTGGCCTGGCTCAGCAGGCATGCTGGAGCCCTCTTCCCTCCTTCTGTCACCTTCAGGCCAGTCTTACTCTCTCTGACTTGGGCCGAGCCTGGGTGGGAGGCTGAGAAAATCCAGTTCCTATGCCAAGAGGCAGCAGGTCACAGCCTGAGCTTCGAGATTACGGGGGTCCCCCTGAGTGTCCAGCCTCCTGTGGGTGGGCTAGGAGCTAGGCTGGATCTGTGTGACTCCTTCCCCTGGAGGCGTGGGCCAGGAGCGGCTGAGCCCTGGGAACAGCCATGTGTGGTGTGTGTTTGTATCCAAGAGGAGGGACTTGGGAGGAGGGGCTGTGATGTTTGGGGGTGCTCAGAGGGAGCCTGCTCCTAAGAAGCAGAGCCACCCACCAGCCTCGGGGGTTTCTGAGCTGGGGTAGTGGCAGGAGGGGAATTCCAGCCTCAAACTTCCTGTCTCAGCTGCTACTCGGTTCCTGCCCGGCTACCCCCCTCCCCAGGGGCAGATGGGCTAGCCCCCATCATATGCAAATCATGGGGAAATTCACCTCTGTTTCCTTCTAAGGGAATTTTTCTCCACTCACCAGGCCCAGCCCAGGCATATCTTTTCACCTGGGGAGGCTGGCCCAGCCCTGCCCTCTGTCCTGGGGCAGGAGCAGCCAACTGGAGCCTTCTACACACATCCTACCAGCGTCTGCTTAGCCAGTCTGGGGGACCCTGACCTTCGGGCAAAGAGGACTGGGGTGGGGGTGGGGATGTCCGGTTTTCCTGTGCCAGCAGAGCTTCCTCCAGTGCAGTGAAAGAGACGAGAGCTAGCTGCAGGGGAGCGCTCCAGGCTTATGTGCTCTACCAAGAGAAGGCTCTGATAGCGCCCACTGATCGCAGTTTTTCCATCTGCTGAGGGAATATTCAGGTGCTACGGCTGCTGAGAGCCGACTTGTCCCCAGCCAAGATTTTCAATGCCCAGAGGCACTGCACTGCCCTGGGAGCCCTGGCATCCCATTAGTTCCCAAGGCTCCAAAATACTAGCCTAGGATCGTGTGCCCAGAGGGAGGCGGGTGGGTGGATACAGGCACACACTGCATACCTTGGATGGGCTGACCTAGCTGCCATGGTTTTGAGAGGCAGGGCACAAGGCCCAGGGAAGGGGCTGATGTGATGGGGAAAGCACTGGGCATTGTGAAGACACAGACCAGGGACCTGACCCATCGTGGGAAGTCAGGGAAGGCTTCTCAGAGGCAGAGACATCTCACTTGGGTTCTGAAGGAGGAGCAGGAGTTTGCCAGTGGCAATGTGTCTCCCGTTCGCCGCCTCTCATAACACACTTTGTTCAAACTCAATTTTGGGAGCTTTGCTCTCCCAAATAAATTCTGGGTCTTCTGTTAGAGACAGGAAGGCAACCGAGTGGCCCAGACCTGGGTTGGAGTTCTGACTGTCCCTTACCACTACTGGCCAGGGGACCTTGGACCAGTCCCATAGCCTTCCTTTCCTTCACGGTAGCAAGCCCTGTAAGAATGAAGCCACGTATCTGACCGCCAGTGGGAGCTTGGTATCTGCAAATCCCTGCTCACTCCCTGTGACCAGCGTGGGTACCTGCCTTTGCACCTGCCTGAGCATCGCCGTACATGGTGGTGATGAGCATAGGCCCTGGGACTGCGTCTCCGTTCCACTGTGACTGCTGTGTGACCCTGGTGACTAAGCTACCCTCTCTGGACCACAGTTTTCATCTGAAAAACAAAGAAGGGGATGCTGTGGTGTCCTTCTCACAGGCTTGCTGATGATTCAGTGTTAGGCACTTAGAACAGGACCTGTCTCCCTATAATTTAGAGGCCTGGTGCCCCAGCATTGCCCCTCAGGCTGCCCCATGGCTCCCAGCTGCCCCACCTCCCTCCTTACCTTCTCTTAGGGCTCCAGCTATCATCCCTTACCTCCTCCCGTTAAAAACACCCACAGGATGTGGTCGGCCCTGGACTTGCCTCTTTTGCGTAACATTTATTCTGTTTTACTTGCCAAATGTGAGAGTCTAAGCTGTTAACTGAGGGGGCTGTGAGAGGCAGGGCCGCTGGTCCCAGGAGCTCTTCCATGGCACCTAGTGTTACCAGGGAGCCCCAAGCCCTAGTCCCCTACCCTCAGGAAATCCAGTTGGAACCCCCACTTTGCAGGGCCATCTTTGGCCTGAAGCCACCCTGAAAACTATCTCGCCAACTGACCCCTCTTAAACTGCAGACTGCTGGGCCCATTTTCAGATAAACAGAGCTGCAGCAGCCCAGGAGCCCCGCCACACATCCTTCTGTCCTTCGGGCAGCCACCTGTGGGTGGGGCACGGCTCGGTCTGAGACCAAGGCAGAGCTGATGTCCCCTCACTCAGCTGTCCTTGCTAAAAGGCCCCTAGCATCTTCCTTATGGTTTTTCTACCTTGGGGAGAAGAGGCGTTTGGGGGAATTGCTATCCTGGGAGGAAAAGCAATATCCTTTCACTTTCAGGCTGAAAGGCTGCCAGGGAGCCTGCCCCACTCCGGGGCTTTCTGTTCCACGCTGAAGGCTGGAGTCACCAGCCCCTTCCCCTTTGCCCTTCTCAGGCCCCAGCCCCTGAGGTGTGTTTGAGGACTGAACTTTAATCCGGAACAATCTGGTTTCTCCTCTGTCAGCCCAGACCGGTGCTTCCCCCGCCCCCACCCCCGCTGCAAGAGGCTGCAAGAGAAGAGGGAGGGGTGGTGACTCAGTGTGCATGTGTACATCTGTCCCTGTGGTCCCAGCAGCTCTTCGGGTGGGGCAGGAACCAGAAGTCTCCGGGCACCTTTCCCCCACCCCCAGGTGTGTTGCAAGTGGCCTGGCCCTCCCCCACCATGGGGAACAGTGCTGCCAGCTTCCCTGCACTTCCTTACTTTCAGGAGCCTCAGGGAAAGTCCCAGCGGGGCCTGGCCATCCTGGAGCTGTGGGAACTGGCACTGGGAATGGAGGCCTTGGGCCCCACCTGCAGAGGCCAGGGCCTGAGCCCCACTGCTCACCACCACCCCGCTACTCACCAAAGCCAGGGCAGAGTTGGGGGGTGACTGCCTCCCTCCTCCTGCTCAGGCCTAGGGGGTGGCAGGCTGGCCACCAGTGTGGGCTAACCCTGTCCTCTCCCTCCCAGCCATGGGAACAAGGAGGTCTTTTCCTGCCGGGGCATCCTGCTGGCAGTGAACTGGTTTCTGGAGCGGGGCCACACAGACATCACAGTGTTTGTGCCATCCTGGAGGAAGGAGCAGCCTCGGCCCGATGTGCCCATCACGGGTGAGTGGCACCTCTGGAGTTGGGATGGTCTTGCTGCCCCAGCCGCCCTGGTTCCCCCCAGGAGAGACTCTTTGGGAGTAACCTACAACTTCTAGAATTCAAGCAGGGACTAGCATTTCTTTTCTTTTTTTTTTTTTTTTTTTTTTTTTTTTTTTTTTTTTTTTTTTTTTTTTTTTTTTTGAGACAGTCTTACTCTGTCACCCAGGCTGGAGTGTGGTGGTGCGATCTCGGCTCACTGCAATCTCCGCCTCCCGGGTTCAAGCAATTCTCCTGCCTCAGCCTCCCGAGTAGCTGGGATTATAGGCGTGCACCACCACACCCAGCTAATTTTTGTATTTTTAGTAGAGACGAGGTTTCACCATATTGGCCAGGCTGGTCTCGAACTCCTGACCTTGTGATCCACCCACCTCAGCCTCCCAAAATGCTGGGAAGACAGGCGTGCACCACCATGCCCAGCCTTCTCTTCTCATTTTTTCCTGTCCTTAGCAACCCTGCTCTGAACGGTGGTCACTGGACGTCACCTTGTCCAGCCTTCTGCCTCAGATCTAGGGCTCCTCCCTCATCCTACTGGTAGGCAGGTCGCTCTTTCAACACTCCCACTGGCAGAGGGGCTGTGCCACATAGTGGTTAAGCCTGTGGGCTCTGAGTTGAGACAGCCAGAGTTGGAGTCCTGGCTCTGTCCCTTCCTGGCGCCCTGGCCGGGCAGGGACCTCTGTTAGCCCTGCTCTGAGCCACGTGCTCCTCATCTGAAACATGGGGTCGGGGGTGGAGAGTGTTGACAGTAGTGCCTTCCTCACAAGGTCATATGAGTTGACACATGGTGAGTGCTGAGGAGTACCCGGCACATGGTAAATGCTCAGTATATGTTAGCTGTTACCATTGTTCTTGCAAGAGCCCCCAGCCTTTGGAGGTAAAAACGGAATCAGTTTCCCTAGAAGTCTTTAGATCTGGGGGCAGCCTGGCTGGGACTGCAGGCTCCAGGAAGAGGGGCCCTTTTCACTTGTGCACGTCTGTGTCCCCATGGTCCCAGCAGCTGCCCACATGGGGCATGGCGAGTGGCCTGACCTTTCCCCACCATGGGATTGAGTGACCTTGTCCTGGCAACGCAAGGGGCAGAGCCAGGATACCTCTCCCGTCCCAGAGCAAGCTGGGGCTCATTCATGGACCCCTCAGAACAGGCTGGGTGAGGGCCAAAGCCCAGACCACATCTGGCTTGAGCAGGCCTGATGTCCAGAGGGAGAAGACGAACAGGGCCAGCTCTGTGCTTGGAGTGTTTGCTGCCGTGCGGGCCCTGCCGTCTGTGCTCAGATGTTCTTGGTCTTCAGGCAGCAAACCGTGCCAAGCCAGGGGAGGGGCTGGGGCATGGCAGTGACCTCGGCAGACCTAGTTCTTGCCCCTATGACCTTGGCATTAACAACTCCCATGCGTGGCCACCAGCAGGTTAGGGAGCCCTGAAGGCCCGGCTCTGGGTCCCGCTGGGCCTTGACCTGTGTGCACCCGTCATCTCCCAGACCAGCACATCCTGCGGGAACTGGAAAAGAAGAAGATCCTGGTGTTCACACCATCGCGGCGTGTGGGCGGCAAGCGGGTGGTGTGCTACGATGACAGGTTCATCGTGAAGCTGGCCCACGACTCCGACGGGATTGTGGTTTCTAATGACACGTACCGCGACCTCCAGGGCGAGCGGCAGGAGTGGAAGCGCTTCATCGAGGAGCGGCTGCTCATGTACTCCTTCGTCAATGACAAGTATGTTCCCGCCCAGGGGCCCTGATGGACTTGGGGTCCACAGGGGAAGCCAGAGATACCCTCAGCAGGGGGGGAGCTGGGGGCTGGGCTCTGCGGGGCCCTGTGGCCATTGGAGCTTGTGGTCTTGGCTCCAGGTAGCTTTGCGAATGAGATGGACAGCTCACCACATAGGAGAAATCAGACCGGGACCAGGCAGGCTGGGGGTGGAGAGAGTGGCTAATTTGGGAGATGGAGCCATAGCACTTATGAGAGGATGTGGTCGGTGGTTCCAGATAGCCTCTCCACATCCCAACATGGCATCTCTCGAGCAGAAGCCACAGGGCAGTGGATGCAGGCTGCCATCCTCCCGACAACCTCAGACAGGGAGTTACCCTAAAGCTGCCCATGGGCTGTGGCCCTCTGGACCAGGGATCCTCTTCTCCTACCTTGGTATGATCCCACCCAGAGAGCAGTTTTTGGGGGCCCTGGACAGGCCCCAGTTTCAGACGTCGCTCTCCTGTTCTTCCTAGCAAGGCTTGCCGTCGGCCCCTTCTCAGCAATTAGAAGTCTCTGCATGGCTCCCACCTCCAGAGAGCTCTTTGCACCCTCTGCAGGTTTATGCCCCCCGATGACCCACTGGGCCGGCACGGGCCCAGCCTGGACAACTTCCTGCGCAAGAAGCCACTCACTTTGGAGCACAGGAAGCAGCCGTGTCCCTATGGTATGGAACCCAGCCTGCCCTCCCCAGCCCTCCTGTCTCCTGCCCTTCCTCTCACCTGTCTGCCTATGCCCCGTTTTCCTCTTGGGGACCTCCACCATTGGACCACCCAGCCCCGTCTCCTGTGCCACCCCTTCCCCGCTCTCACCCCTGGTTCTGGAGTGCCCTTGCTTAGAGTCCCTCGATTCCTCTTCCAGGGAGGAAATGCACCTACGGGATCAAGTGCCGATTCTTCCACCCAGAGCGGCCAAGCTGCCCCCAGCGCTCTGTGGCAGATGAGCTCCGTGCTAATGCTCTCCTCTCGCCCCCCAGAGCCCCAACCAAGGACAAAAGTAGCCGGCGTCCTTCACCTTCATCCCAGTCCAGCTCTCTGCTAACAGAGAGTGAGCAGTGCAGCCTGGATGGGAAGAAACTGGGGGCCCAGGCATCCCCAAGGCCCCACCGGGAGGGTCTAACACAGACCTATGCCCCATCAGGCAGGAGCCTCCCACCTAGCGGGGGCAGTGGCGGCAGCTTCGGGCCCACAGACTGGCTCCCACAGACCCTGGACTCACTCCCATACATCTCCCAGGACTGCCTGGACTCGGGCATTGGCTCCCTGGAGAGCCAGATGTCAGAACTGTGGGGAGTTCGAGGAGGCCCTGGTGAGCCGGGCCCACCCCGAGCCCCTTACACAGGCTACAGTCCCTATGGATCTGAGCTCCCGGTCACTGTGGCCTTCTCTGCCTTTGGGCGGGCCATGGGTGCTGGCCACTTCAGTGTCCCTGCCGACTACCCACCCCCACCCCCTGCCTTTCCTCCTCGAGAGTACTGGTCTGAACCATACCCACTACCCCCACCCACACCAGTCCTTCAGGAGCCCCCAGTGCAGAACCCAGGGGCTGGCCGAGGCCCATGGGACAGGACAGACAGCCTGGCCAAGGAGCAGGCCAGCGTGTACACCAAGCTGTGCGGTGTGTTCCCGCCACACCTGGTGGAGGCCGTGATGGGGCGCTTCCCGCAGCTCCTGGACCCCCAGCAGCTGGCTGCCGAGATCCTCTCTTACAAGTCCCAGCACCCCAGTGAGTAAGCTGCCCGAGGCTGGCAAGGGCAGCACCTCCAGCCTCCAGTGGCTGTCAGGCTGGGCTTTGCGCCATCAAGCAGCCCGTTCCCAGCCCCGAGGCCCATCCCGGAGGCTGGACAGAGGGAGGATTCAAGTCAGGAAGGGAACCCCACAAACCAAAGATACTGTAGAATTGGTTCTGGCCCACGCAGCACGTCTAGCCGTCTGAATGGGTCAGAAGCGATCACCCTGTTGATACACATTGTATCTCTGTAGTTTAAGGAGACGCTGCCGGTAACGGCGTCAGTCTGTGGCTGAGGCCCAAACCGTCTTTTCTCTCAAGAGGGTGGGGAGGGAGGTGGGGGCAGCAGAGGCCTGGGCTGGGTGCCCTGTGCACGCCACCCCACTTCCACCCCGCCCCGGGACGTTGGCCTTGGCTGGCTAGTTGGGCACCATGTGCCCGCCCTCCGAGGGCCTCCTCTACGCCAATGAGGCCTCATTCGTGCTCTCGCTGGGCACGCGGCTTCGTGTCAGTAAGCAAGATGCTTCTTAATAACCCACCTTCTGCCCCATTCTGTTCCTTACCCCGCTGCCCCACAGGGGTCAAGGGCCCTCTGTCTACACCTTCCTGCTGCTCCTCCTCCATCCTCTATTCAGAGCAATCCTTTCCCCACAGGTGGGGGAACGTGTGTGTATTTGTGTACACATGTAAATTTTAAATATTTTAAGCACCAGGTCCTTACCTCCTGTAAAACATCAATAAAGTATAATCAATGTCAGCCCTTTCAAAAGGTAATTGTCTTTTTTATGCTCAGGGTGTTGGTCTGGCCTCCAGGTGAGGAAAGTTCAGCGGGTGTGCACCCCTGACCTTCTGGCACACCAGCTCCCCGACCCTTCTCTGGAAGGAAGATTTCCAATGTTCACCAGGAATGCTTAGCCGCTTGGGGATGGGGCATCTTTCCCGAGGCCTTGGTCTGGGCTTTGTTAGGAAGTGCCCATGGACACACAGGCGGGCAGGGGCTGGAGGGAGCAGTTAGGCAGCTAAAGTGTAAAAGGGCTTGGAGGCTAGTTTTATCTGCACAAAGAAAACTTATTTACAAAATAATTGGGCTTCTGTTTGTTTTTATGGGAAAGGAAGCTAAAATACCGGACTGTCCAGTTCATTATCAGCCACTTGGCAATGCAGAGTGACTTGCCCAAGGTCCCACAGAGAAAGGACAGACTGGGGCAGGGCCTTGAGTCCTGTTTCTGGTCCCCAGACCAGGGGGAAACAGGAGGTATGGGCCTGGACACTAGTTTGCAGCAACTCAGGGCCCTGCAGGGATGGGGGAGGTGGGGATGCCCTCAGCCCCACACCTCACAACTCTCCTAGTTTACAACATCCACATAGGAACCCCTTCAGGCCAGGCACATTGGCTCATGCCTGTAATCCTAGCACTTGGAAGGCCAAGGTGGGCAGATTGCTTGAGCTCAGGAGTTTGAGACCAGCCTGGCCAACATAGGGAAACCCCATCTCTATAAAAAATACAAATTGGCCAGGTGTGGTGGCATAAGCCTATAGTCCCAGCTACTTGGGGAGCTATGGTAGGAGGATCACTTGAACCTCAGGAGGTGGAGACTGCAGTGAGCCAAGATTGCACCACTGTGCTCCAGCCTAGGTTACAAAGTGAGACCCTGTCTCAAAAAATAAAATTAAGTAACATAAAATAAAATAGGAATAGCTATACTTAGACAAAATAGACTTCAAGACAAAAAAAAAAAAAAAAAAAAAAGGAATCCCTTCAGCATAGCAGCTGAAATGGCCACCCCACCCACCTGGTCAGCAGCAGATGCCTAGTGACCCCATCTGCCAAGCCCCTTCTGTCTCTGTATACCACAATGGAGCTTCGAGGCTGCCTGGAAGAAGTAGGGAGCATTCTCACCCCTCTTCCATCCCAGCTGCCAGCTAGCCACATAGCCTTGGGAGTTCATACTTCCTTACTTGCTTCTTGACCAGAGCTAAACTCTGGGCCACTTGCTGCTGCTGCTGCTGCTGTGTGTGGGGAGGGATGGGCAGTGGGCAGCAGGTCCTGACTGGCTGTGCTGTGTCTGGAGGCTGCCTGGCCCTGCTGGTTTACTGATAGGCACCAGCAAGGGCAGCAGAGCACAAGTGGCAGGTGCCCGAGGGGCTGGGTTCTGGGGAGGACTGGTTAGTTCTGAGCCCCACCGGCCTCGGCTTGCATCCTGTGCTTTCCTGGCAGGCCTGGATGCCCCTCCAGGCCTCTTTCTCAGCCTGCCAGGCAGAATGACTCCGAGGCTACCAGGTCCAGTGCCCCAGCTGTTTCTTTAACTCCAAACTTCTCCCCACCACCTCCTGCCCCACTACCTCCCCACCACCTCCTGCCCCACTACCCACCCAAGCAGCTTAGGTAGGTGGCATTTACTCACAGGGCCTCAGTCTCCCCACCTGTAAAAGGGACACAATGGCCCTTGCCTTTTTCTAGATTTGAGAGGAGGACACCTCAGTTCCTGTGAAAGGAAGAGAATGAGGGGCCCTGGATTCAAGCCCCCCTCCCTAGCAATGCAGCCCTGGGCAACCCACTTCCCTATCAGAGCCTCAGCTTCCTGGCCCGAGGCAGGGATGGAATGTGACTCCTGCGTGCTGGAAGAGATCAAACTCTGGGGAGCTGCTGCCCCAGTGGCTCTTTCCTCCTCTTGTTTTCCTGGTTCCAGGAGCCAGAAGCTGATGGGGAAACCAGTGAGTATGCAAATTCCGGCACTATTGGGAAATGATCCTGGGGAGCTCACAGAGGACAGCCTCCCGCCTGCCCTCCCCCAACACCCTCCACGGGCCCTGACTCTGCCCTTGGGCTCTCACCAGCGGGGGCGAACCCTGCATTATCTTGCAAGTTCTGTCTCACACACATGGGTTAACCCCTCTTGGAGTGAAGCCAGGGTGACTATGGCCAATCTGTCCTCAGAAAACCTCCAGCCTCTCTAGCAGAGAGCAAATCAGCCCACAATGAGATGAAAGTTCCCTTCTCTAAATGTCTCAGCCCAGTCCCCATCCCTCACTTCTCCAGAGTGGGGGAAAACTCAGGAGCCCCTAAAGATCTGGGGACCTAAGCCAGGAGCAGAATTTTGGGGTTTGAGGGGAGCAGCTCTCCAATGCCCCTCCCCCAGTGCTGCTCATACCCCACCTCATTGTAGTCTCCTGGGGTTGGGGGGACAGGTGGTGTCTGGGAAGCAGCCAGTATTCCTCGAGCAACTGCAGATTCCCTCCCTTCCCCATGCCTCCTGGAAAAGCCAGCATTTGCCTTCTATACACAGAAGGGAACGATCCCAGCCCTGAGGGAGGTGCTAGGCAGGACTCTACCAGGTCAAGAGTGAGTAGCAGAGAAAATGGGACTCGAGGGGCACATATCTAGGAGCTTCAGGAAGGGAAGTGGTGCAATGAGCCCGAACCCTGGGGCCGGGTGGTCCCTAGAGACGCTTCCCCAAAAGAAGGCAGCCCCAGGACCCTAGCACTTTTGTCCCAGGTTTTCTCAAACCTCTTGCTCACTTTTTTTCTCTTGGACCATAGCAGACAGGGTGGAGTAGAGGGTGGGCAAGGGCCTATTCTGGGGACCTCCCAGTTCATGGGAAGGGTGTGGGAGATTTGGCTGAAAGAGGCAGGAAGTAGAGCCCTGCAATTAAGGAAACCCAAGCCAACCCAGGCCATGGCATGTAAATCCTTCCCGCTAGTTCCTGAAGGGGAGGAGGCCCCAGGCTGTCATTCTGGGGTGTGGCCTCGTCAAGCTCCTCTCAAGGCAGCTGCTGGTGTTCTTAAACTGCTCATCCATTTAAGAAATGTCAGCAAAATGAGGTGGGAGGAAAGGATCAGGCACCCCACCCCATGCTAAGTTAGGCACATTGCTGGGAGGTCAGGTCACTGAATGGTGCAAAGGCTACGATTCTGGCTGCTCTCATGCTGCGATACCGTGCCTGCCACCTGCTGGCGCTTCCTGGTACTGCTGCCTACGGAGCAGGGGCCTGCTCACCAGCTCTGGCCTGGAATGAAGAGGCTGGAGACAAGCATCTTGCAGCAGGATCTAAAAAACAATTAATCTAAGAAGAATAACATGGGAAGTAAAGTGCTAAGGCAAAAACAGGGAATTCTTAATGGCATTTGCAGCTCCGCACCGGAAAGCAACAACAGAGGTCACTGCCATGCCTTCTACAAAGTCTAAAGCTCTAGAAAGTTCCAACTGTTCCAGGTAACAACCCAAGAAAAACTGTCAGGAACTGAAGAATAAAAAGGAAAGGAAAGGTGAAAAAAATATAAACATTCTTTGTTTTTTCGAGACAGGGCCTTATTCCGTCTACCGGGCTGGAGTGCAGTGGCATGATCATAACTCACTGCAGTCTGGCCTTCTCGGGCTCAGGCAATTCCCCGACCTGAGCCTCCCAAGTAGCTGGAACTACAGGCATTCACCACTATGCCTGCGTAATTTTTTGGTATTTTTGCAGAGATGGGGTTTGACCAGGTTTCAGGCTGGTCTTAAACTCCTGGGCTCAATACACATCAACCCGCCTCAGCCTCCCAAGGTGCTGGGATTACAGTCATGAGCCAACACACCCAGCTGATTTGTTATGTTTGTTGTTGTTTTTTTCAAGGAATTTTCTTTCTTAGGAGACAAAGTCGCTCTGTCACCCAGACTGGAGTGCAGTGGCACAATCCCAGCTCACTGCTGTCTGCACTTCCAGGGCTTAAGCAATCCTCCTACATTACAACATCTGGCTAATTTATCTTTTGTAGAAACAGGGTCTCACTTTGTTGCCCAGGCCAGGCTTGAACTCCTGGGCTCAAGCGATCCTCCCACCATGGCCTCCCATCATCCTCCTGCCTTGGCCTCCCAAAGTGCTGGAATTACAGTCATGAACCAGCCTGCCTGGCATCACTGCTAAGAATTTATCCTACAGGTATTCGTATTTGCAAAATGATGCATATAGGGCTATTCACTCTGACACTGTCTGAAACAGCAGATGATGGGAAACAATATTAATGCGATCAACAGACAACTGATTAAACTCGGGTATACACATGCAACACAATATAAAGTAGCCAATAAAAATAATGAGGCAGTTGTACATATGGAATGTTTTTTGTGTTAGATTGCTTGATGAAGAAAGCAAGGGATGAACAGTGTGCACAGTATGCTACCATTTCTGTGAACAGACACATGCATATGTGCATACTGCTCATACACATAAAAAGGTCACTGCGAAGGATACAAAGGAACTCTGGGGTTGCCTCTGGAAAGGGAAACTGACAGCTGAGAGACAGAAACACTTCCTTTACCTTAATATACTTTAGTGCCATGTGAGCTGTGAGCATTTGCACATTGCTACAGTCTGAATGCTTATGTCCCCCCAAATTCTAAGAGGCTTTGGAGGTGCTTAAATTATGAGGACAAAATACTCATAAATGGGGTTAGTGTCCTTATAAAAGAGGCCTGAGGAGTCAGGTGTGGTGGCTCACACCTGTAATCCCAGGACTTTGGGAGGCTGAGCCCAGGAGTTCGAGACCAGACTGCGCAACAAAGTGAGACCCTGTCTCTAAAAAGAAATAAATAAATAAGAGGCCTGAGGCCAGGTGTGATGGCTCACATCTACAGTCCCATCACTTTGGAAGGCTAAGGCAAGGAGGGTCACTTGAGCCCAGGAGTTCAAGACCAGCCTGGGCAACATAGCAAAAGCCTGTCTACAAAACATTTTTAAAAATTAGCTAGGTGTGGTAACACATAAATGTGGTCCCAGCTACTTGGGAGGCTGAGGTAAGAGGGTTACTTGAACCTGGGAAGTTGAGGCTGCAATGAGCCATGATTACACCACTGCAATCTAGCCTGGGCAACAAAGACCACATCTCAAAAAAAAATTTTTTTTTCTTTTTTTTTTGAGACGGAGTTTCACTCTTGTTACTCAGGCTGGAGTGCAATGGCACGATCTCGGCTCACCACAACCTCTGCCTCCTAGGTTCAGGCAATTCTCCTGCCTCAGCCTCCTGAGTAGCTGGGATTACAGGCACGTGCCACCATGCCCAGCTAATTTTTTTGTATTTTTAGTAGAGACGGGGTTTCACCGTGTTGACCAGGATGGTCTCGATCTCTTGACCTCGTGATCCACCCGCCTCGGCCTCCCAAAGTACTGGGATTACAGGCTTGAGCCACCGCGCCCGGCCTCAAAAACTTTTTTTAAAAGAAGCCTGAGGGAGCTTGTCCTCCTTCCACCATATGAGGACACAACTAAAAGGCACCATCTGTGACCCAGAAAGCATGCCTTCACCAGAAGCTGGCTGTGCTAGCACCTTGATCTTGGACTTCCTAGCCTCCAAACTGTGAGAAATGTTTGCTGTTTATAAGCCACTTCGTATATATTTTTGTTATAGCAGCTCAAACAGACTAAGACACAGATATTCAAATTAAATATTTTAAAGTCCACCCATCCCCACACCCAGCATACAGAAATAAGTTAGCAGGGTGGGGGCTGTGAGCTGAGGTGGGGGCCCGGGGTCTCCAAAGTTTTTTCTGTATACAAACAGTAAAAACTTGAAGCATATACACCTCCAACATGTATGTGCTCTTAAACTATGATAACTGCCATTTTTACAGATTAAAAACGATTCTCAGCAGTTTCTTGTGGTTCAACCTTTTATTTATAAATTAATGACCTACATGTACTAATGAACAAATACTGATGTATACAATATATTCAAAGTGAGAAACTAAGTAAGGCTGAGCCTGAAAGTGAATATAAATCAAAGGCCTAATCTTTTCTTCCCACCCGCACCCAGCCATCCTGTGCGCCCTCTTTCCCTTGGAGGCCACTGTCCTAAGTGAGGATCAGCATCGACTCCACTACAGCCCACTTCAGTGGTGACAACTTTTAATCCACAGGAGGAGTATTTCAAAGCAAATACTTTGTTTCAAATCATGAATCTTACCACTTAAGACAATTCGGACATGATAACGCTCATTTATACTGACACAGGCATGAAAATTCCAGTCCCTTCTTTTCATTATCTTACATGCATGTCACCTTCCTAGGCACTATGACACTACCCTGGGAGAAGCAAATGTGTACAAAGAAGCACAATCCTGCTCTCTCCCCACACTTCACATGAACCAGTATAGTGCCCCTGTAGTCAGGGCTTCAGATGCCAATTTTCTGTTGTTTTTAGAGACAGCGTCTTGCTACGTTGCTCAGGCTGCAGTGCAGTGGCTATTCACACACATGATAACAGCACACTACAGCCTTGAACTCCTGGCTTCAAGCGATCCTGCTCAGCCTCCCAAACAGCTGGGAATAAAGGCACACATTACCACATCCAGCTCAATGTGAACTTTTAAGCTTAATAATGCCTCACTAACTAGGCTGGCTCGGTGGCTCACGGCTGTAATCCCAGCACTTTGGGAGGCTGAGGTGAGCAGATCATGAGGTCAGGAGTTCGAGACCAGTCTGGTCAATATGGTGAAACCCAGTCTCTACTAAAAATAGAAAACTAAGCCGGGCGTGGTGGCACGCACCTGTAGTCCCAGCTAATCAGAAGGCTGAGGCAGAAGAATCACTTAAACCCGGGAGGTGGAGGTCGTAGTGAGCTAAGACCGTGCCACTGCACTCTAGCCTGGGTGACAGAGCAAGGCTCCATGCCCCCCAAAAAACAAAGCCTCATTAATTTGGAGTAAGGCTGGTGGGGGCAAAGAAGACAGAATAAATGCAAAAACTAAGTCAAAGAGTGTTTCAAGCTTAGGCTCTTTAACTTTCAAGTTTAGACTATTTATCATTCATTTTAATTCTCTTATCTACTGCACAGGGCAAAATGTCAAGAATACTCTATATTGCTGGGCGCCATAGCTCACGCCTGTAACCCTAGCACTTTGGGAGGCTGAGGCAGGTAGATCACCTGAGGTCAGGAGTTTGAAACCAGCCTGGCCATCATGGCAAAACCCTGTCTCTACTAAAATTACAAAACTTAAGACAGGCATGGTGGGACATGCCTGTAGTCTCAGCTACTAGGGAAGCTGAGGCAGGAGAATCACTTGATGCCTATAATCTCAGCACTCTGAAAGGTCAAGGCAGGAGGACAGCTTGAGGCCCGGAGTCTGAGACCAGCTGGGGCAACACAGCAAGAACCCATCATTACAAAACAAAAAATTTTCAAATTAGCTGGGCATGGTGGCATGCACCTGCAGTCCTAGGTACTAGGGAGGCTGAACCAGTAAGATGGCTTGAGACCAAAAGTTAGAGGCTGCAGTGAGTTTGATCAGGCCACTGCACTCCAGCCTGGGCGACAGAGCAAGGCCCTGTCAATAAATAAATAAATGAATAAAATACATAAATAATATTTCTAAGAGCAGTACTAGTCTATCTCTAGCAATGTCAAACTATGAGAGTCAAAAATATTTTAAGGTCTGTTGAGTGCTTTCCTCAGAGGGAAGGAAACTACAGGCATCCCACTGCAGTCTCATAAATATGGAAATCATCATTTTAAGGGCAGTACTATTCTTTTTTTTTTTTTTTTTTTTTTGAGACAGAGTCTTGCTCTGTCACCCAGGCTGGAGCGCAGTGGTGCAACAGAGCACTACTATTCTATCTCTAGCAATCTCAAACTATAAAAGTCAAAAATATTTTAAGGTCTGCTGTGTGCTTTCCTCAAAAGGAAGGAAACTGCAGGCATCCTACTCCTCCCTCCCAGCAAAGACCAACAGACAAAAGATACAGAATGCTTCTGGAATTTTTTTTTAAGGAATAATATAACTATAAGAAACTATTCCCTTAAAAATCCTGACATTGGAGTTCTGCTACCAAAGACATCTAAATAGCCAGTCAAAAAGCCTGTAATCCCAGCACTTTGGGAGGCCAAGGTGGGCAGATTACTTGAGGTTAGGATTTCAAGACCAGTGAAACCAACATGGTGAAAACCAAAAAAAAAAAAAAAAAAACCCACAAAAGTTTATTTGAGAACAAGAGTGAAAGCTTTTGCACATCTGACAAGGTGGACTTGTTTTACAGGAGATGCCATCCATATTCAGCTCTACCAATATTATCACAAATGAAACATACTGTTTTTTACAAAGATATAGACAAAAGTCAAGGACTATGACTGACTAGAATCAAAGGAAAGGGTAGGCCCCAAATCTTATCCCTTAGACCAATTCATAACATAGGATTTAAATTAAACCATTCTGTGTTCTCATGTAGTGGTTCTCAATTTGGCTCTTATCAGAATCCCAAGAACTTTTCTAAAGAAAATCCCAATAACTAGGCTATGCCCCAGTCTCTGGGGGTGGAATCCAAGCATGAGTATTTTAAAGTTGTTCAGGTGATCAATATGCAGTCAAGGTAGATCACCAAAGCACTAAAGGCATAACAATTAAGTTCCTCGCCCCATCAAGCCCTCCACAAAAGGGAGCGCTGCTGGCAACAATGGCTCTCACTGATGCTCTCCTTTCACTCCACTTAAGAACTTCGTAAGTATCACTTTTGGTATAATTTGGAGACTTTCCATATGCCAACCACGGTGATTTTTAGCAATAATCAGGTGAATACCAGCAAAGAGAGAAAATACAGAAAAGGAAATTTCCATAAGGCATGATATGAATAAACAAAATAAGTGAAAAAAACAATCTCAGGTTTAAAAGTAAAGCATGAGAATTTGAAGCCTGTGAAATTTTATTTATACAAAAGAATAAAAACAGCTATTTAAAAATAATGGATTTAAACTTATGTTTTTCCATTTTTCCTGTGCCTTGAACATGAATCTGCTTCCAACTCAGATTTAAGATAGGTAATTACTAAATAAACACTCTTGACCTCCCCTTGCAAAAACAGAGCGCCAAGTTTCCCATTTTACTTATGATAAACCAGATTATTTTCAGTTATGAATACTGGCAACTGCATGAAAGAGATGATCAGATATGTCAGCAGGAAGGTATGAGCTGTACAAACGCATTACACAAAGACCCCAAAGAAAATAAGATGACAAAAACAAGAGAAAAATAAGAAAACATAAAACAATATAAGAAAATGCCAGATATTTACAGCCTCCATCTGAAATGTGATTTGTGTTCTACTTTCAGCATAAAATAAAACCAGAGAACATTTCTTGATGGTATCGCAGATAGATGGTGCCAGCCATTCTGGGGGGGGAGACATTCATTCTAAGAAGGGAGCAATGCACAGTTAGCAACTTGTTGGAACTATAACCATGTCTTGATCTTCCTGCAGTTCTGTTACTAAAAATGACATCAAGTAAATGATCCAATGTCTTACAGAAATGACTTGTTTGTCACCACATTTAAAACAAACTACTCAAAGTCACAGGCACTGGGTCTAGGAGAGCAGAGATGGATGGCCACGAACTCAGGTGAAGGATGTTTATCTTTGTGAGGTCAGAGAAGGGAAGCAGGGTTCTACAGCCTGGAAGCTTCTGCGCTAATGTGTCTTCTAATAGTCCTAAAGAGAGAAAAACAAAAGTTCCAACTTACTCCCGGCAGAATAGTGGTTTGACCCTAAGAGAAAAAAAAAAAAATCTCATAAACAACTCTGCTAAGGGATTGCTCTGTAGCTAAAGATTGTATATCAGGCCAGGCATGGTGGTTCACACCTATAATCCCAGCATTTAGGGAGGCCCAGGTGGGCAGATCACTTGGAGTCAGGAGCTCGAGACCAGCCTGGGTAACAAATTAAGACCCCATCTCTACAAAAAATACAAAAATTAGCCAGGTGTGGTGGCGCATGCCTGTGGTCCCAGCTTAAGCCTGGGAGGCAGAGCTTGTAGTGAGCTGAGATAGCACCATTGCATTCTAGCCTGGGCGACAGAATCAGACCCT